GTACTTTGTATGACTGTCCTACTTATCGCAATTACCATACCTTCATATTCATTAATTCCCTGAGTAGGAACATGAGATCAACATCAGTGTCAATTTAGTGTTCAGAAAGTCCTCATATCTTCTTTGCACTACCGTTGACGTCCTGGATTCCAACAATAACAAAGAAAAAATGATAAACAAAACTAAAAGCCTAGACGAAATAAAATATTTTAATTTTGGTTGCATGATTAATGGTTCTGATGTTAAACAGAACCAACTTAAGTGGGTCCTTTGTCACTGCGGCATGGCGCAGAATCAGATTGTGGGTGGGGTACCAGAAGGCCTCTAGGTAATCCATGGATGAAGCTGCGAACAGCTGACAAGGGGTTGTCCGCACCGTAACCAAAACTTACAGGCTTATTCATGTCACACAGAACCTCGTTGTATTCTAGTAAACAAGGTAATAAATAAACATTCGACAAAATGAGACAATTTCTGACTGGTTTTACGACTACTAGCATATCAAAAATGACTCTCCTGCGTAGTTTAAGTTTTATGGTAAACAGAAAGATGGTAATTTAAAGATGAATGCGAATGTGATCAAAAAGAAACCACTAACTTAGATCTGTTCAAGAACGCTACTAATGGCTGCTGAAAAGTCTCTGCTTTTATTTCATCTTAGTTTATTGTTATTGTTGCGAAGGGGAGGGGCTATGTTTCTGTGCAAGAGGGACTTTAGAGGGCCCTTAGTCCACTGCCTTTGATAATAAATGAGTGAATATGGAGCAGCGGTGGGATGATATTGACAAGGTAAAAAAACCGGAGGACTTGTCGTCCACAAATCCCACATGGACTGAGGTTGGCGCAAACGCGTGCATCTACAGTGACAAGCTGGTAACTAACCGCCTGAGCTACAGTACACCATTCTCCTTAGTTTACAGTGGTACTGAGTTAATTAGTATAAAGTCCATTGGTAAAGACTGTGTTGCAACTGTCCAATTATGAACAGAGAGCCCGACAATGACAGCGTGTCTGGGCATGAACATGCATAGGCCCATAAGTAAATTGGGTGTGCCGGCGGTATGCCAGCAGGCGGTTTGGAAGAACATACCGATGGCACTGCATAGAAACAGATAAGAGCGTCTGGTTCTGCAAACCAACTTTAGATTGAAAGCCTGTCTTTCTGTGTTTAAGTAACATGCCATGAAAACATTTTACCTGTAGTGGGACAGCCATTTTGCTAATACAGTGAAAGGTAGCGTATACAGTACTACTTTTCCGTTCTTAATTTTTTATTGTGATAAAGTTCTTTCATAATATCTTAAAATATGATCAGATTTCTTGGGTACGAAACAGATATGTGCATTTTATTAGATGTTTACGTGCAAGTTACCAGAATTTGAATGCATTTACGACAATGTCTCGAAATAAACAAATGCACGATCTCTCAGACTTCCCCACCCCCTTCTATCCCTTGTTCATTATATAAAGAGCTTTTTGTTAAACATGAAAACGTCCTATAATCTCGCGTAAAAAGGTATTCAGATTTTAAGTTTAAAATTAAAGAAATATAAACTAATCTGTCAAGATAAATAATGTTAGTACATCTCTTACATTTGCTTTCTGCATATGCAGGGGTTTCCCAAAGCAACATTAAATTCACACTTCACGCTTTTCGTATTGCTTTGTGTTTGTATTCAAACCTCTCTCTGGTGTCGCTTAGGATATTTTGTAATTCTTACAACACTCTCCTTAGTTAAAACAACATATTCTAACATGCAACATGGAACATATAATTGTAAATAAAATAGTTATTATTTGTCAGCCTTATGTGACAAGTATTTAGCAATATATTGCAGGTGAGATAATTTAGAATGACTGCTTAAATCGATATTTATAAGTGGTTAAATAAACTAGTAATGTCCACTGACAAAGATCTTATGTCAAAGTGTCTAAACAGGTAAAGCTCCTTTTATCCTACTAGCAGAGTTTAGGAATGGCGTTTGGAAACAATGGTTGCTGCGTATCCTTTAACTTGACTGATGGATGGACGAATCGAGAAATCTGCCAATGAGGAGAAAGAAGGAGAAACCATCTCAACTGGAGATCTACGTCAGATTATCTGAGCGTGGTGGATCCCAAACAACATGTTTCAATATATTCTATAGACACTGACAAATACTGGCTCAGTAGGAGGTTCATTACTCCATTGTTACTATACTGAAATACCTTCTAACAAAAAGGAAATGTTTAGTCCAGCCCTTAAAATTGCTGCAATGATTTCATGTCAGAGAATGTCGAAGGAAGATGGCCGCTATATTTGTCTTCTTGGAAGTTAAATGTCACTCTGGAGTACCAAAGACTGTCAAAGATAATATCAAAGAAGGAATGCATGTGGCCCTTTGACAGTTTCTACTGCTTTGTGAGACGAGTGTATTTTAATTTGTGCACATAAAATTGCAGACTTACAAGTGTCACATTTAGATTTCATTCCTGAACCAAATACTGCTGCAGTATGTTCGTAGTGCCCTGTATCTTTATTTACATTGTTTAAAGTGTCAAATAATACTTGGGCGTTTAATATAATTTTAACATAGACCAATCAAATTTATAACAACGTATAAAAACCTACATATTTCGAGCCTTATTTTCAATGGAATATTATCTACGATAAATAGGACTTGGTGAGATATGAGAAATATGAAGGTCACTTCAAACTCCTTTTGCATTCCTTCTACTGTTAAGATTACGGAATTATAAAAGTGTGTGTACGGTCCCGAAACTCCCGAGATTGTAACAGATGCTACTCTGTTAAAAATGGCGTAACAATCAGTGAGTTAACTCGTGATTTAAGGCAATCAGTTCTGTATATAGTATCCCCGTTACACAACTCCCTCTATAATAAACTGAATTCGAAACTCATCAATCTACCACCTGTTACTTAAAGCCGTGTTTTGTAGCGAAACCATTTCAGGATAAATACATGGCAGTAAACTTTATGTTTCTTTGGTTCCCATCGATCGATCTCTTGGAGTTGCTTACTATAGAGGTAGCAGAATGTTCTAACTAACAAGCGAAGGCAGAGAAATTTTGATTCGATTACTCAGTGTATTGAAAAATAGTTTACGTACAGCGTGTACGTTATTCTCATTAATATGTGGCTACAAATAAGAATTGCTTCATGTAAAACAGCCCTAAATAACTCCGAAAATTTTAGTAAACAACTTGTAATTATTAGTCATATTTGGTTATCTAACTTTCAAAAGTATGCCCATCTTTAGCGATGATTTATGGCTTTGTATAATATAAAATACAATTTCATTTACTTGTTTACAAATTAACATACCTATATTCGGAATACAGTCTTAGTATTCATAATAAAAATTAGGAAATAAGATTATCACAAAATATGTTTGTACAATATGTGAGCCTTACGTTCTGTCATTAGAACATTAAATTAATTTAGTTTACCAGATTTAATGTAATTTATACTGTGAAACGCGTGGTGAATCCTGGCAACTATCACTAGTGTGAGTAGCCTTCAAACTTGTGATTTAATTGGACACAAAGATAAAATCCAAATCTCTATTTAGACATTTACTCAGTATAGACGGAGAATGTAATAATTCATTCTCACTTAACTACATGCTGTTACAACATTATACAGCATTTTACGAATGTCCCTCTTGTAGGACCGCCGTCTTCTGATGTGTTTAACACGCAGAATGCCGCCTGCCCTCAGATATACTTCACCGTTACTAGTGAAATCAGAGATTTAAAATTCGGAGCTATATAATTAAACTGTTCATTAATTACAAAATTACAGGTTACGCAATGTTTATTGTTCTATCGGCGACAATTATGAAGACGGCTGTCGTCTAGGATGTTGCACCGTACAGCCTCGTAGAAATCGACCAACATCCAGAAGTGCTTGCTGTCTCCATCGTCAGCGCGCAACATTTCAGAGGACAGTCATCGTCAATTGTATTTTTGTTCGATGTTGGTATAAGTACGTATAACAATAGAATAACCAACAAAAATACTTTCTAAACTCTTTTAGAATTACCTAATTAGCTGCTTACTTACTTACAGCAATGATATACAATTAAGTTTTAACAAGAAGAATCAAACAATCCAGTCACGTGCTTTCTAAGGAAGGATAAATTAAGCACGCTTTACAAGAAACGTTTTGACCTTCGAGACAAGTTCTCTAGACATGCAGTTTGTCTCAATTTTGAGATCACATGACACTAATTGTTATATGGATTTGTACAAATTGAATACAAAATTCAGTTCATTTGTACTGATGGAAACCTGCTCAAAATGCTTTAGGAGCATCAGATATCGGTATGAATTATGGATATCCACATCTTTTGTTTTTCCGATCTGAAAGAAATCAGAACTGCAGAAGTGACTCCTCAGTATGACATGTTTAACATTCAAGTACATGAGAAATTAAGTTTCTGTACATGTGTGCCTTTTAACAAACAACGCGTGTTGACTGTCCTTCAAAACTCCATTCAAAAAAATTGAAGATTACGAAAGAGATAATAGTGAAGTACGTTTTTGTAAACGTCGAAAAAGGCTGACAGACTCCCATTTCGGGAGTTCGCGGATAAAATAAATAATTTTATTCGTTTCCATAATATGAAAGTAAAGAAATAATTCACTATTTTACTCATTAATCTAATTGTCATTGCCGTTTATTTTATTTGCGGTATAGACTGATTTCTTAAAAATGGTTTAGATTAACTTCGTCTTCAAAGGGTTAACTGATTTCTTAAAAATGGTTTAGATTAATTTCGTCTTCAAAGGGTTACTAACGGCTTTCTTGAACTGTCACATGTTCGCAATTCACATATCATTTAACATGTCAAAGTAGACTCTATAAAATTCAAAACATGTGTCTGATATACAACTAAATAAATCGTGCAATAAATTAGTATTGACACAGTGTGATCAATGTGCCTTTCTTTAATATTTGAAATAATCATTACTTTCAGTTCCTAAATTTTTCTTACCTCCTTCTTTCGTTTCTTTTTCTTTCTCCTCTTTGTCGTCTTCGTGGTGAGCTCTATCTGCCGTTCTTTTTGTTGCTGTTTCGCGTAAATAATGATGACAATTGTGCAGAAAACTTCGTGCCTTGAAAATGTTAATTGCCAATATTGAACAATGTTCGTACACCTGGCGACAAGTGTCTGTGGTCCACAGAGGCAGTATGTTGTTCCTATTTCCAGCACTGCGGCTATGACAAGAGCCTTCTTCACGTCTGTATCAATCTCACTTTATCTCGTCCACTGTTCCTCCGCTTTTCCTTGGTCTCTCATCCACAAATTAAAAACAACCTCAGTCTTTCTCCCATGTAAATAATCTTTCATACGTACAAACACTATAATTTCTTGTCTGAACACAACTTTTCCGCTTTTTACACTAGAATCCCTGCCTAAGTTACGATATAATTCTTCACGCTAAGAAATTCATTTCATGCCGACTAAAACATGGGATACAAAAGTGAGATAATGTCTTAACATGTCGCAATCAGAAGAGAACAACGTTTTTCCTCGCTCTTTTCTTTCTTGCATGCGACGGTTGTGGGTTTGTGTGTATATGGCTGTAAGTTTTCAGTTTCAAGGTATTTCGTACTTCCTTCTTCCACCATTATTTTCTTTTATGTTTTATTCTCCCCTTAAGCACGCACCAAAATCTTCAACCTTTCCCTAAGAACTGCCTACATCACTAAAACTTAGAGTTTATATAATGGTTACATGGCCAGGTTAGGCTAGTAATTTTATTAAACGGTTCTTATTTATAGGCACTGCACTATCGTCGACTTCAAATCAATGTTTCTCTTTTTCTTTACTTACAACAAAATAAAGTTAATGTATAGGCACTGTATCACAAAATTATGCTGCATTAGACGACAAAATTTTTAGTAGATGTCTTAACTTTTGTCATTAAGTTGTCTTTCACGCGGTCCCGTGCAGTTATATTCACCTTATATAATTTTCTGAACACAATTCTGTAGCCGTAAGAAAAGTATCACAAAATATGTAATTACGACATCAATATCTTTCTGAAAGTGTTTAAGTTCGAGTCTTACACACGGGAATCTCGTTCGAACTTTGCTTTGACACTTGTCCTTCTATCAAGAGCAGATAATTGCTGTTGTATCGCTGATGTGTTTAGTTGCTGTTCACAGCTTCCGTAGAAACCGACAGAGACAACGATGCACACAGTCACTTTAACAGTCCACAGACTGATGAGACGTAACAGGATGATAGAGACACGAAAGCGATTCTTGTCACATGAATGCACATTATCCGTGACCACAGTTACGGTGCAAATAAAAACGAATGGCAATTGTAGCAAGCCAAATATTATCTTCATCTGACGATCATCACTGAAGGTAATAGAAATGTCTGTCATAAAACCGGAAGAGAAGGCTTGGAAAAACTGTTTTGCTGTCTGATATAATTAATAATCCTGCTGGAAGTATCTCGCTGAAATCCCGGGCCTGCTATTCACAACAGCTCAACTCTGTATGTAATATTAATGTTCTTCGCGTGACGAAACTGTTTTTCGCCTCTTCTTTTCTCCTTTCTATTATTTTTTTATCTTTGTTGCCTTGTTGTTGACTGGTTAGGTTAGGTCCATGTGGCAATGAGTGAGAGGGAAAAACTAGATGTATCAGGGTTTAGTGAGAAGGAAGGGCGGGTTTTTCTTGACGTCTTGATTCCGTAGTTAAGAAGGAAGCATAACCAGCGTGTCAAGTTGATGGTTGTTTGACCACTCTGCACAGTTTCTGTCCTATTTCAACGGTTATTCGGCGGGCACTTTTATTTAACCAATCAGCTACTTAAAATTTAGTGGCCAATAACGGAGTGGGCAGAACATGTGATTCAAGATAGCACGGGATTGTAGAGGCCTAAATGGTAAAACTTTTGGCCCCGGTAACGAAAATCCGACGATCACATGTGCCACAAATATTGTCTGCGAGTAAAATATGTTGTCTTGATTAGTTGTAAACAGATGACATCAACAGGAATGGGTGCACGTAGAGATTTTTTTGGAAACACATGAGTAACCAGCATTCAGATTGTTTTAGACTGTAAAATAAATTGAATGATGTTTGACAGACACACTCTGAATAACCACGTGGTAGATATTATTGATAATATTCTAACAAAATACAACGTCGATGTCTTGTTATGCGGTTGGAATTTTATTAGGATGTTGTCGATTGACTTTCGCCGAAAAGATATCACCTACACTTCAGACACAGACAATTCATTCAATCACTTTTCTTCTCGCAAATCTCCCTTTCCTGCAATAAATTACGAAGTCGCTTCAGGGATTGTTCAGAACATAAATATACCTTTTCGCAGAATTAACATATGTTGACATCTACACAAGACAAAACATATTCAGCACACACCAAAACTTCATTCAGAGTTGCTATGACAACTAAACTTGTATTTAATACAGTTGAATGATGATTTGTTTCCATCGGAAATACCGGCAACAGAAAACTTGCGTCATGAATGCTACGAAGTCCGACGGTAACTGAAAACAGCAAACACACTGGGAATGGTATATGGTTTTCGTGTTTGGAAGTGTGACTCGATGCGATGGAACTCAAGTGAAGCAAGCTACTGGTTGCCAACGTTAACCCCCTACACACACCACCAAACGGGCGCCTCTCGCACTGTGCTGGCCTCTCTCTCGCCCCTCTGTCTCTTCACTTCGCATCTACACCCCCTCAGACTCAACTCTCACGAAACCCTTTCTCGCTCTGTTGGACGCCCATGTATATTTCCCTCTCGCTTCCTCACCGGGCGTCGTATTTGAGCAGCGTCGTTTCTCCCATGCACATGCGTTGTGGACTTCTGCCTGGCAGATACCGGCGCCCTCTGTAGCTTCAGTGCTGGGCAGGATGATCAAACGACAATAATAACTAGCCGCTTATGATTGTTAAAACCAATTATTTTGCAATATCGTATCAAGCGTGTGGTTACTGACCTACGCGTACTTTAGTGTTCAGGGCAACTTGAAAGATGGCTATTTTCTCTGTCAAAGTACTTTTATGTTTTTGACAATGTTTATTCGAAGTCACACAAATAGACCGTAGTCATATTTGCACGCCAAAATTAACGATTTTGAAGTAAATAAACATTGACACTGTTTACTAGCAAACTCTTACAGGAATGCTGAAATGAAAGTGCTTATTTATTTGTGTGTTCGGTATTTAATGTCTTATGTCAATAACTCAGACTATAAAATACAGAAAGTTAGAATGATTAATGAGAAATGAATGGAATGAATAAATCCTCCTTGGGTTACCGGCCGTGTAAGGTGGCTTAATGAAGAACGGGATCTCCTAAAACTACTGTATCCTGCCACCTTACATGGCTAGTAGCCCGAGAAGAATTTATTATACTTAGTCGCCGCGAAACCTTCAGATCATACGGTCGTGGTCTAATTTAAGATAAGATAGCGGAATTTGGGTGCAGGATCTGAATAACCCACAACGAACCTCAGTTAAAACACCTAATTTCGAGCCCTGCATTTCCAAATGCAGGAACACTAAACAATGCCCTTATACAGATAACATATGTCCATTACATTCACCGAAGTATTCCAATGTAACAATCACTCCTAAATGTAAAATATATTACATACAGGCTTTGTAATATAGTAGAGTAAGTCTACTTTTCAAGTAGTTCTCACGCTCATTGCTGCATAAATATGTAGGATTTTTCAGCATTTTCAGTAAAAGCGATGTCTCCTTTGAGGACACTTTGCTGATGTGAGAAAGTATTTGTATTAAATATATGTATTTAGTTCACTTGTATTTTCCCTATGTTTCTGTTTTTAATGTCTGCCTATAAGGGTCTGTTTATTAGTGTGTGTCTGCCATAGGCTTTTTGCTGCTGGAAAACAATAACAATAAGGTAATTTTTATTATTGTGACGTATGTCACAATAAAGCAAAAATGCTATGTAACAGAAGTTACCCCATACCACATTCCGAAAGCTGTAACTTAAATTGAGACTTCTTTCCTACATCCATCTGTAACAGAAATAAATATCCCTTCAGAAGATCAAGAGATAAAATAAGAAATGCCGAGGCTTATCTCAAACACTGTAAATTTCAAGCCCAATGCTTCTGACTGAAATCACTGTTCGTCCTCAAACCTTCCAGAAAATTAAGCAATAAACATGAATGTTGATATTGACTCTGGAATAACTGCTTACGTTACAATGACGCTTCGTCGCTACTGTAGCCGAGGCATCTCCGCGCGTGTTGCCTAGGTCAGGAGGAAAGGCTACTGTGCAAACCAAAGACATTAACAACATAGGAAACAAAACAGTGCGCCACAGGGTACTGTCGCTGGGGAACAATGTCTGTACTACGAACAGTTGTCTATTATCCCTCCAAAGCGATGCCTTATACATCTAGTTGAGCTCAAGCGCGCAGATTAGCCCCGAATACAGTACGGTGATGCAGGGTTTGACGTGACAGAGGAATGCGTTCTTATTAATGAATTTTGCAGTATGTGCAATGAGGCAATTACGACCTGTTTTGTGGTGTCCAGTCTCCTGGTCTATTTCAAACCAGAAAACACAGAGCACGTAGTACAGGTATAGTTGAGTTTCTACATGTTTAATTCAATTTTTTAAACAGAATTTAAAAATTTGAAAATTACTCTTTAGACGATGTATAGAAACCTCGTATATTCTATGAATTGTGGTCTTTTTGGTTGTGACGCCTGGCAGTCCACAGCTGGTCGATCTGTCCTCACTGGCATAAACAACGTAATCAAGACCAAGAACGTCGTCGGGTTTCAGAAATCCACGTTTTACATTAATAACAAACTGAGGCTGACGAAATTCACAGCGTCGAAGTAAGGATCCTAGTGACTAGTGACATTACATGAAGCACTTCATCTCTTAGCTAAAATCTGTTTCCTGATTCCATACCAGGGGCGCTGTGGTCAGGTTGTGTGATTTGTGAGTCAGGATAGTCACGGAGAGACCAGTTCAATCCGGAGTATGATGCGCGCAGAATACTAATCACAAGCAACTTGTCTGTCGTACACTTCACATACAACTTCCGGCATCTGCAACTGGCGTAGTACGCAACTCAAGCGGTAATGTGTTTGACATTCTAGTAAGTACATGGCTATCTACATACTCATGAAAAGCATCCATAAGCACAGTAATGACGTTTTGCCATTTCCATTTAAATTAAGTTCTTCAAACTCAATTCAATTCTCTATTTTAACGAGCTGATTCTGTAGCTATAAAAGACAATTACAGAGTCGGCGCAAAAATATAAAATATATACATAGGACAGAAAAAATAAAAAGATCATCTAACCAAATAATCGGTATAATAATAACAATAATTCTGGCATCATCAAATGTACATTTTAAGAGTCCGTTTTGAGAGCTATCAACGTGATAGGGTTTAAAACATGTGTAAATTTTAAATATGTAAAATGAAACTAATCCTCCTGAAGTGTTACAAAGTTTCCGCGTTACAAAATGGTAAATGTTCCCGGACCGTCGTCTGAAAGACAAAGTTTCTTCCCAGATGTTCCCATCGTCTTGGGAATAATGTTCACATATTCTCATAATCATTGCTTCCTGTCATGATTAAACCTAAATTTAATACTATAAATAAAGTCATCGAACAGACTCCTTTATGTGCAGAATCTAAACAAAATAAATGCTTAGGCTTATTTGAAAACGATAACAAGTAATGTAAGTAGCTACTAAAATATCCAGTACCTTCAATAAAATTTATGTTTTCAAAAATCTTCACGTACTAGATAAGACCCTATTAGGTGTAATGCATTTTCGCAATGAGTAGTCTGATTTCTGTAATACGAAAGTAATTTTCCACATCAATAAGTAGTATCGATAACACAAACAATTAACTTTTAAGTAAAGTTTTACACATTATTGTGTAATGCACTAGGGCACGTGAAATGCACGATTCTATACCCTGGCATAAGTCCGTGGTACACACACGTAGGACTTTGGCCAAGGTCTGTATAATTTTAAGTTTTAAAAATTTCACTCATATTATTCTTCACAAAATTACATGTTATTTAAGGGCCTACCTAAAAATGAACTGCTATTTCACTAATAAGTCCTAACATTTTATCGAAACGCATAAATACCTGACATAAATGTTACGAAGTACTGTAGTACATACAGGAGGAGGTAGTGACGATAATACCCAGCAATTTGTAAGAACAAAATACAACAAAACGTAACAACATTGATAATTTTTATCGTCCTTAACCTTACTTTCAGAACACGGTATTTCAACATGGCACGCACATAGTAAAGCTGCTAGCGTTCACGACTCCGCCCAATCGTCGTTAGCCAAATTGTAGGGTAACCAACCAGCATAGATCAGCTGTTCTGATTGGTCCGATGTATTGCATTCAGTTGTCTTCTTACAAATGCTGTATACCCAGTAAGGATTTAAGAATATTTAAGGCAAATAAACTACTTTTCCTTTAAAAAACAAGGGTACTTAGTACATGAACTTATGTGATGTAAGTATGCCTCGTTTCTAATTCCGACAAAAACAAATATAACAAATGAAGTATTCCTTTAAACCCAATGAAACCTATCAGTGCACTAACATTAATTTCAATAACCAATCAATCATTCAACCAGTCTTACTTTTAGTGTCTGCACACATTAACATAAACTTCTTTCTCTATAAAAATTGTAAGCCGCCACCTGAGGTATATTGGAAGCCATTGGTCTAAACTTATTTTTAAAATGCCAGTGTCGATGCCTTCCTGTAAATATTACAAAGAAATTATTTTTTTTTAGACAAACAATTATATAGTTTAGCAACTTATATTTTGATTTGGAATAGCCTGTAAGCAAATCTGTGTTGTAAATAGTCCATTACTTATGATACACAGACCTTATACAGTTTTACATGTATTTTGTACCGGCATAAAAATCTATAATTTTTATATATGAGTAACGTATTTGTCTCTGCTACTTACGTATCTAAAGACTAGCTCAGAATGAGCATTGAAATATACTTCACCATGTTTTAAAAAACCACTCCCCGTCTGATGGCCTCCTTCGCTGTTTCTCAGTAAAAGAAATCGCTTTCACAGTTGGACTAAGCAGTTCTTTTACACAACACAAAAGTTAATTACACGGCCTCATAGTTTTCTGTTTCGCTATTTTCCCACGGCCTACTGCAGATTTTCGCTCACCGAACCGCTGAGTTGGTTTCGTGATCGCATTCTAGCAGTGCTGTTCAGCAAACAGAAGACGAACGATGTAATGCCAAGATCGCTTTTCCAACCATGAATTATAAAACCTCTTTTTTTCCATTAACTTGCTAATACATGCAACAGTTCACCTTCTCGTCGTGTTTACAGTCTACACCCCCCAATAATGTGTATGAAAGACGACATTGCATTATGAATATAATTTCCATATACACTACGCAGGTTATATATATATATATATATATATACGTCTATCCATATAATATA